AGATGGAAACTTCCCGGTAAAACAAGGGAGTTTCTGAGGCTCCCACTGTTGAAAGGTTTTCTTTCAACTGGTGGGGTGGAGAGCTGCTTGAATCACAGGGTCAGGCTCCCTCAGGAACGTGCTAAGTCTCCCCATGTTTGCAGAGGCCCCAAAACTGTCCTAACTGCCAACTGCCAACTGATCTCATAAATTCCCTAAAAACGGAGGTATTTGGATCCCATTTGTTCCAAACAGAGGTAATAGGACACACACACCCACACCCACACACACACACACACACACACTAAAGTGTTCCATATCCATAAGTTTTGGAAATGCTGGGTTAAATAAGTTATGTAAATTTCTTTATTGCAGGACTTCTCAGGACCTTTAATAGCATTGTGACTCTCCATCAGGACCAGTTGTTATACAGAATTTCCCAAATTTATTTGAGATGTTTTGTGGAGCACAGATTAACATTTCCCTAAACTTGTGCTCTGAGGAACAGGATCTAGATAGTCACCATCAGGATGTGAGCTTAGGAGAAAGGGGCCAAGATCACCCAGTAGTCCTTGGGTAGCTGCAGGTCAAAAGAGCAAAAAGAGGCCCAACAACCTGTTACCATCTCCTGGATTTAAAAAAATGATCTCATAAATTCTCCTTACTTTCTGAATTACTAATACTGGTTTCAGAATCCAATAATATCAGAGCTAAGAGGGAACCTAGAGATCACTTCATCTAATCCTTTCATTTTATAGATATGAAAACTGGCCTAAGGAGATAAATTGCCCAAGGTGACAAAGTTAATTAAATTGCAAAACTTGATTAGAATCCGGTTTCCTGACTTCTTGTCCACTGATTTTTCTCCTGCCCTGTTATACTTCCCCATTATGACTGTATCCACAGACTAACAATGGGCTGGTACTACATGATTTTGACAAATCTGCCTATAATAAAAAATGAGATCTAAGCCCATCTGATGGCCATGTAATCTCAAAAAAATCTCAATATGGTGAAACCTCAATGTGATAAAATAATTCAAACAGTTATTGGCTTGTGAATGAAAAGTTGATCTTTGATTTCAACACTGGATTCTTAACTTTTTTCTGAACCCACAGACTTAGGATGTCTTCCTTGAAAACTGAATGGTAGATCATATAGATGGCATGATCCATCTCTCTTTCAAAGATTTTCTATTATTAAAAAAAATTGATCAAGGATTATAAAAGATTAAACATGAAAATCTCATTCCTACCTCTGTCTCCCATCCTTTCATTTCCCAACTTCCCTCTCCATATAGTTCCCCTCCCTCTCCATATAGTTATATTACAAAAATATAGTTTGTATTTGTGTTTTGTGTATCCTTCTGAAGTTCTTTATGCAAATGGAAGCAAATATGGATATAGAGACTTTTTTTTCTTTCTTTCTTTTTTTTTTTTTTTTGAGATGGAGTCTCTGTCACCCAGGCTCACAGCAACCTCAAACTCCTGGGCCCAATTAATCCTCCTGCCTCAGCCTCCTGAGTAGCTGGGACTACAGGCATGTGCCACCACACCGGGCTAATTTTTTGTATTTTCTGTAGAGATGGGGTCTTGTTCTTGCTCAAGCTGGCTTTGAAATCCTGACCTCAGGTAATCCTCATGCCTCGACCTCCCAGAGTGCTAGGATTACAGGTGTGATCCACTGTGCCCAGCCACTTTTCTCCCATTTTTACACAAAATGGCACAATCTTTTTATTAGGCAAGTCTCTCCCCTTTTCAACCCTCATTTTCTGATTTATGAAGAAAGGAGATTGCACTGACTATCCACAATCCCTTCTCTGACATTTTCAGATGTTGGGAATGCATGGAGCCCCTGCCACTCTCTCTGCCTCTCTTAACAATGTTTGGCTTTTTGGAAAGTCACACTTGTGTGGCTGGTTTTTTCAGTGACCTCAAATTTAAGCAATCAGGGTGTGGTTTGCAGACGCTGGTATTCCATGCTTTAAGAAAATCCAGCACACAAATGTCAACATTTCCAAAGCAAATTAGGGAGTGGCTGTTTGCATTACAAATGAACCTTGCAAAATGATTCACCAACGGCTTTTTTATGTACTTGCATATATATATTCGTTAAACAAATAATACTTATACTTGGTATGAAATTCAAAAGAGTATGCAATGAAAACCTTCTACCTTGATCCCCAGCCACTGAGCTCCTCTCCTCATGGGCCACCCACCTCTCTTACCAGTTTCCTGTGTGTTCTTCCATATTCTTTGCACATGCAAACATATCCATATATATTCTTTTTTTGAAAATAGAACTGTAAACATACTGTTTTGTACCTTGTTATTTTTCCGCTGAAAAATATGTCTTGGAAAGCCTTCTGTATCAGGACAAATCAAAGTGTCTCATTCTTTTGTTTTTGTTTTTTTTAAGGGCTGCAAAATTTCCCACTGACGGTTACATCAAAATGAATTTAACCTAAAAGGAGCTCAAAAATGGTGAACTCAACCATTCTATCAACAATCTGATTGAATTCCTGCAGTCCTGTTTTCAGTTGCACCCTGTTGTAGGAAACAAGATCCTCTCAGGGTGCGTCCCTCTGTGCACGAGCACAATGAGAGCAGCCTCAGCACCTGCAGACAAGCGCGTCCAACAGAAACTCACCGCATTTTCACCTCCTAAGTCTCAGGGTTGAATCTCAGACTACCTCAAGATTTCTAATTTTTAGAGTAACTTTTTCCCTTCCCTTATTTTTACAATAAGCTTCTCTCTCCCCCTCCCTCCCTCTCTTACTCCCCTCATTACTGAAAACTGAACAATCTAACATAGCTTTACTTCTCTTTTCTTTTCTTTCCTTTTAAGCGCCAAGTTTTCGAAACCAGCCTCACTCTCCAAGGCTCACTCTTAACCCGCTGACGATCATAGCAGCTCCTATGTACCGTGTGGTGGCCGAATAGGAAAACTGTGATCAGAGGCAGGGGGTGCTGAGATATTAATCTCTCAGCCCGCAGGGTAGCGAAGGTGGAGGTACAAGTGGCATTATTTTTTATGTGTGACAGTAAAAAGACTCAGAGCCCCGACGAGCACCATGAGAGGAAACACCGTCCTGAGCAGTGCTTGGGACATGGCGCGTTCTCAGTCACGATATTATAGGATTGGTTGATTGGCTGGCTGAATGACATAATCAAAGACTAGGCACTCGATAATAGTAGATATGACGACTGTCATGATTACATCTTCTTACTGTTCTTTGTGCCTTAAGCCAAAGAAAGAAGAATGTATGACATCCAGTGGATAGTTGGTAATCCTACTGCTAGTTAACTTTTCATTTCCACTTACTTAAAATATTCACTTCCCTTAGTTCTAAGACATGAGAGCTCCTGCTTTTCTTTTCTTTTTCTTTTTCTTTTTTTTTTTTTTTTGTTTTCTTTTTCTTTTCTCTGCGTTCCCGTCCTCTGACATCTCTTCTTCCTACCTTCTGACTCTTCTTCCTCCACCAGGCCTTTAAATGTTGTGGATTCTCCAAATGTAGCTCTCCAGCCAAGAGACACAGTTCTTTCTCCCTGAGCCAAGTCAGTATTTCCAGGGGCTCCAGAGACAAACTGCATAGTGATGAATCCTAAATGGATGTTTTCGGCCCTTTCTCCTGTTCTGAACTCGAGCCACGTATCCAACTGCCTCCCTGTCATTTCTTCATAAAGTCACTAAGGTGAAACTTTGGCCACCTGGAGGAAAGAGAGCTTGAAACAGGAATACTGAGAGGACACAGACATATAAATTTTTTCTTGCACACTTGGAATTTGTGCCCACTCTCATGGCTATTTCAAATCTTTTCTGCCTTCAGTTCTTTGATGTTGCCAACCTTTCCAATTCATCCATGTTCCCCAGTGCCCTACCCAAGTAGCAGAGCCTATCAGCTCCCACTCCATAGAGGGGACAGAGGCCAAAGAGAGCTCCCTTACTTTTGCCGCCAAATCTACAGACATCTGCATCCGCTTCCATTCTTTTCTCCTCCTATTTAGGCCAATTTCCTACCTGGGGGTTGGCTTGTGTCCCTTCTGGCTCTTTGGGGGTCTCTGTCCTCTGTCTTTTGACTGCCCTCTCCGCTTGCTGCACCCTACCAACATCTATACGTAGGCAGAGCTCCCTGTTTTAAAAGCCTCTTCCTTTGTCTAGCCCCCACTGCTACCCTTTCCCACTCCCTTCACTGCCAAATTTCTTGCCAAGGTTGTCTCTGTTTACCATCTCTGTGTCTACACCTCCCATGTGTGTCACCCTCCTGTGATTTTTGCTTTCTTCCCACAACCTGCTCAAACTGTCCTTGACAAGGTCGACACCAGTGTCCTCCATACTATTTAATCCGATGGACTCTTCATGGTGTTTATTTTGCTTGGCCACTCTGCAGCATTTGCCACCACTGGCCAGTCCCTTCTCCTTGAAGTGCTGTGTTTACTTGTCATCTTCCTCACAACAATGATTTTTAAATGGTTCTGGGTGGCTCACCAGGTAATTGCCAGCCCAGGGACTGGGTTTTCCTTCTCCCTTCATAAACACCTAGTTATCTCTAACTCACCCTTCAGGTCCCTGCTCAGGGAGCCCTTCCCTGTCCCCTCAGACCAGTTTGCATGGCTTCCTGTGCTTTGCCAGAGTAGCAATTATCCCAGATTGCAATTAGATGTGCAAGGGTCATTCTATACCCCCAGATTTCCCCCTGGGTTGTATTTAATTTCCAGGGACTTCTGTGGTAGCAAAACACAGAGGAGCACCTGAATATCATCTGTTACACTGGCCAGGCTGAAACGTACTAAGAGCCCACAGTCCTCATGCATGCTAGTTTACAGTGATCTGAACGCTCCCCTTCATTCTCCTCACACATTTTCATTTTTTCCCAATATTTTTCCAGACATGTGCAAAGTGATATTGGAAATGACTGCAGCACCAGTCCCTTGGGGGGGGGGGAGCGGCTGATAGTGGCTGGCTACACAGCCTCTTTGTATGAAATTTCCTCTAACAAACAACAAAGACACCAAAAGGAGTCAGGGGATTCCTCTCGTCTCCATTTCTAACTCCTGTCCAGAAGGCCTGGTCCAGTTCTAGGGGCACATCACAGGGCCTGGACAACGCAGACTTCTGAATACTCCCGTTGTCTTCTCCTCAGTCCAAGGACCCTGATCTTATGTGGAGGTAGATTCTTCCAAGCTCTTGTGTTGCTTTGCACGTGGGTTCTTTCTGTTTCCCACGGGGTCATGGCCCGAAAGCCCGCAGAGGAGTCCTTCCTCTTTCAGCCGGGGTCCACTCTTCCCTAAATTGAGACAACAAAGATTTAGTTCACAGAGCAGGGACAAGGGCCCTGGAGAATATAAAATCCTGGGGACAGAAGCCATCGGTTGCAATATTCCAAAATGGCATCCTGACACAGCACGTGACCGCAGGCACTGAGAATCTAGGGAAACAAGGGTTTGGAGACAACAGATGACTCCAGAACTCCCTGATGTCCTCAGGAACTACACAGATAGGTATAGCATGAGGGGGAAAAATCACTGAGGGGAAAAAAATCAAGAGTAGAAAAAGCTGTTTCATCTTCAGTATTACAGAGAGGAATTTCTAGAGGGAAATGTGAAGATTTTGTGATTGTTGAATAGCAAAGGCTATGAGTCATTTGTAAATATTAACAAAAATAACACATGTACTTGTGCCTAAATGTAGCTAGCAATGAAGTTAACAATCGCCCACGTATCTCCCCTTAATTACCTAATTAATCTAATTACCTCCTACCATCTTTTGACCTCTCTCCTCCCACACAGCCCTACTTATTATTACCTAAATGAAACAACACATTCACTCTAAACAAAAAGCCCACAGACAACCCAGAGAAGCCACATGTTTGAGAAGGACTCCCATCATATTTTCTTGTAAATATATATTAAAATACCTCCTTTTTTAGAATTTCAAACCCTGGGAGGAGAATGTATGATGCAAGCATTAGGTAAAATGATCTCATGCTTTTCTGTAAATACTGCCAGTTCTCTAGCGGCAAGAGACCAACTCCAGGGGCCTTTTGCTTTTAGATGATCCCTCAGGACTCAGCAGAACAACAAGCTCCAGGTGTCCACCTGCAGGTGACCAAGAACTTAATGCTGCCGGGATAGAATCTGTCTAGCTGCTTCTCTTTCGATGCCAAAATGCACCTTGAAATCTGCCTTCTTTGGGCTGATAGAGAAAGACTAAGAAGAGTTAAAATGGTTAAATATCTTTTCTTATTGACATGCCTATGGTGGAAATCTGGCCTGGGGCGGGGGTGGTCCCTGCCAACCACTCTCTCCTGTGATGCACTTTTTCGATGCTTTCTTTATTTGCACTTAGACTTCTCTCTGGAGAGAGAGCTTCAGAGAAACCAAAATAATTAAACACCAGGGAGAGACAAGTTGCAGAGCTGAAGCTTAAATGAGCAGACAAAATAATTATTCTCCACATCATATTCATATTTCAAACCTTGCTTAAAAACTGGCTTCTAATTGAAGTATTCTGTTATTTATTATTAACAACAGCCACTTATTGAGTGCCTACTCAGTGAATATTGGTTAGGCTGTTTGGTTAGGTTCTTTTAGTTGATCTGGCAGCCACGAGAAACAGGAATTGTTGCTCCCATTTCAGAGATTAGAAAACTGAGTGTCAGAAATAAAGGCTAATGAAGGGCAGCCAGAGGCAGGTTGACCAGGAAGCTAATGAAGTCTCAGGCATCCTCTTACATGGGCCCTTATCAAGACACTGTACCTAACCCTGTATTCGTGTTTATTCTTCTTCTTAAGAGAAGCTTTCAAAATTGCATAAGCTTCAGTTCCCACAAAATCTGGTGTAGATTTTGGCTCTACACCTGTCCCTGGTTTAGAGCCAGCATTTAAACCCAGAATTATCCAACTTTGGAGTCCCCATGCTCCTTGCACAGTGCTATTATTTGTCATGAAATAACAAGAGCCAGAAAATACAACTTCTGCTCCCTAAATCTGCTGTAACCTTGAACATGCCAATTCTGTTAAAATACCACTTGCATCACCCTTTTGGAGGGCCAAATATATATCAGCAGATACTCGTTTATCACCATGTGGCTAGTGGGAGGAGAAAGCCCCTGTGAGAGAGTGGTTCAAAGGATAGACTCTGGAGCTGGTTCCCTGGGTTGGAATCCTGGTTCTCCTACTTCATCCTTAGCTGTGTGTGCCAGGCAAGTTTTTTAACCTCTCAGTGTCAGAATTTCCTCTTCTGAAAAATAGGCACAGTAATAGTTCCTACTTCATTGCAGTTTGTGTATGTCTGTGCCTATATTAAATGAGTTAAAAGGGTTTTTCAAACTGCAAGTCAAGACCCATTCGTGAGTCATGAAATCAATTTAATGGGCTAACCAGCATTTTTTAAAAAAAGAAATAGAATTAGATGGAACCTAATCGAATACAAGATACCAGAATGCATTGCATCGTCAGGGCAGGTAATTGTTTTCTGAAAGTGTTTGTTTCCACTGTGTACAGTATGAAAGTATATATATGTCTGTATGAGTGTGCTGCATTGCTCTGTAAAATGTATTTTTTTTTTAAGACATGGGGTCTTGCCATGTTGTCCAGGCTGATCTGGAACTCTTGGCCTCAAGGGATCCTTTTGACTCAGCCTCCCAAAGCACTGGGATTACAGCCATGAGCCTAAAATGTATTTCTTACTGTGAGTCACCATCAAAAAGATTTGAATACCTCTAGCTGGGTGTGATGGCATGCACCTGTCATCCCAACTACTGGAGAGGCTGAAATGGAAGGATCACTTGAGCCCAAGAGTTTGAGGCTGCCATGAGCTACTGCACTCCAGCTGGGTAACAGAGTGAGACCTTTTCCTTTTTTTTTTTTTTTTTTTTTGAGACAGAGTCTCACTCTGTTGCCTGGGCTACAGTGCTGGGGTGTCAGTCTAGCTCACAGCAACCTCAAACTCCTGGGCTCAAGCAATCCTTCTGCCTCAGCCTCCCGAGTAGCTGGGATTACAGGCATGCACCGCCACCATGCTCGGCTAATTTTTTCTATATATTTTTAGTTGTCCAGCTAATTTCTTTTCTATTTTTAGTAGAGATGGGGTCTCACTCTTGCTCAGGCTGGTCTCGAACTCCTGAGCTCAAATGATCCACCCACCTTGCCCTCCCAGAGTGCTAGGATTACAGGCATGAGCCACCGCGCCTGGCGGAGACCTTGTCTTTATTTAAAAAAAAATACAGCAGGCCAGGTGCAGTGGCTCATGCCTGTAATCCCAACACTTTGGGAAGCCAAAGCAGGAGGATCACCTCCTGCAGGAGGCCAGGAGTTTGAGACCAGACTGGGCAACACAGTGAGAACCCCCATCTCTACAAAAAATAGGAAAATAGCCAGGTGTGGTGGTGCATGCCTGTAATCCTAGCCACTGCATAGGCTGAGGCAGGAGGATGACTTGAGCCCAAGAGTTCTAGGTTGCAGTGAGCTATGATCATGCCATTGCACTCCAGCCTAGGTGACAGAGTGAGACCCCGTCTCAAAACAAAAAAAAGTGAAAAAAGAGAAGTCTTGAACACCTTTGAATGACTACAGATAAAGCAATTAGAAGTGTGGCGGGCACCTTGTGAGCATTTAGTAAATGTTAGTTACTGTTACTGTGTTAGGCCTTGTGGAGTAGCCACAGATGTGCTTAATTTGGTCCCAATGCTTGATTTGTATTATCTGTTATCTCATCTGTTATTTCCTAATATATTTTTAAGTAACATTTTATTATTATAAAATCATGTATGTTGAGGTTAAAAAGTTAGAAAATCCAAGCAGGCAAAAATAAGAAAATGTCATTATCCCATTGCCAGAGATTCTACTGTTAACAGCTTTTGTGTATATTACTCTGGATTTTTTCTATACAGATTTTTCTTTTTTCTTTTTAGTGTATTATGGGGGTACAAGTGTTAAGGTTACATATATTGCCCATGTCCTCCTCCCCCCGCGAGTAAGAGCTTCAAGCGTGTCCATCCCCCTAACGTCGTTTACACATTTTTCTATACACCTTTTTTATTCAGTCAACAATCTTGACTGGGTGAGGTGGCTCACTCCTATCATCCCAGCAGTTTGGGAGGCAGAGGCGGGAGGGTTGCTTGAGCCCAGGAGTTCAAGACCAGCCTGGGAAACATGGTGAGACTACCTCTCTACAAAAAATTTAAAAAAAAAACAAAAAGTCTTTTTTTTCACTCTTGTATACTTTCATTTTATCTAACACCCATACCGTATTCAAATTTCTCCCAAGATTTCCTTTAGAGCAAATTTGCTGAAACCACTCTTGATGCAGGACTACTCATTGATCTGATTGTTATGGCCTTTACTGTCATCTAATACTTTTGTCATGACGTTGACTTTCAAAGAGATCAGGCCAGCCACACTGCAGAACGTTCCACTTTCTGGATTGTCTGTCTGCTTCCTTGTGCCAATATTTACCCTATACCTTGCATTTACTGTAAATTGAAAGTTATATCTAAGGGTGTGAGAGAGCCAGGCTCAGTAGTAAGTGCCTGTAGTCCCAGCTACTCGGGAAGCTCAGGCAGGAGGATTGCTTGAGCCTACAAGTTTGAATCCAGCCTGGGCAATGTATCAACATTTTAGCTAGACTATACCCTAAGTCGTATTCACACTGTATCATCAGAAAATATCTAATGAGCCATTGTTGATGCTAAGATTGAATCAGGCTTAGGGTAACAACTGTCTGATTTTCCCACTAAATGGTTTTGTCCACCTCACCCTCAATTTGAAACTAGAAGTGATATAGTATGGTATTAATTGGCACTGTTTGTATGTCCAACCTCTATCAACCAGCCCTTCATTTCATTTTTAACAGCTTTATTGCAGTATAATTGACATACAATACATGACACATTTTAAAGGGTGCTGTATTGCTTTTTTTTTTTTTAATTTCTTTTAACCTGAGTTAGGTTGCTGATATTTGAATGTATTGATTTTCTATTGCTGCTGTAACAAATTATCACAAACTTAGTGCTTAAAACAACATGAATTTACTTTCTTACAGTTCTATAGATTAGAAGTTCAACATGGGTCTCATTGGGTTCAAACTGAGGTGTCAGCAGGGCTGCATTCCTTGGCTCTTGGGCAGGATCCATTTCCTGGTCTTTTCTAGCTCTGAGAGGCTGCCCACATTCCTTGGCTCATGGCTCCCTCCATTTTAAAAGCCAGCAATGTTGCAGCTCTCTGACAAGTCTTTTTATTTATTTATTTATTTATTTATTTATTTATTTATTTATTTAGAGACAGA